CTCACTCAAATTGAAGCATTCTTGCTTACTTACTTTCAGTTGCTTAAATGCCTTGATATTTCAGACAAAATGGGATGCGCAAATAAACTCCACGTGAACAGGGGTCGGAAACATGCATTTTATAAAAGTTGGGCTTCTTCAGATGCAAGGCCATTTTCCACCTACCAGAGAATTTTGAGCACAGACCAACAGGTTAGCGCCATGCGCTGAAGCCATTGCAAGAAATCCATGTAGACGGAGAACTTTCCAGTCGTAGAATCGAGACATCGCATGGGAGCCTGTTGCTCAGTGTTCGACAGACCCTTTGGCTCAGGCTTGCGAAAGTTATCGACCAGGTAGCCGAAGAAGTCATAGAAGCTTGTCACGTAGGAGCCCTCCATTGCACAACACTACAAACATGAAAAACGATAGCCTGTTGTAAAACAACTTGCCCAACATAATGAAAAAAATACTTGATTTCCGACTAAAGTTTTCCATCTCAAGTAATTGGTAGAGAGCAAGGATAAAATTAGCCTGCAGCAAGGTGGTTTCATAAGTAATTCCACCAAATTGTATCGAGTTTAAGAAGCATACATTAAACACATCAGCCGATCCTCCAAATTATGCAAACATGAACCACTCCACGATACAATTCGCATTCAACAATCTGTAACACCTCATGTCGGTCCAGCAAGAGTCGATGACGTCAATCACCAGACCAGTGATCCCAAGCCAAATAGCTCCAACTAACAGTACAAATTAGCCAAGGATAGTAGCGACTACCTCCTTTTGGTAATCGCTACCCAGCACAGTCTCATGGAAACCCAGTAGTGAAATACAGAGCTTTAAGAAATGCGCCAAATAAATGGAATCTATAAATGGTGATTTAGCTGTAGATAAGGAGAAGATGATTTATTGCAATGTTCTGCTCTCAACTGCTACCCGTCACGACAGTGAGGCTGCCAATGTGACAGCCTGTCAGCCCACAATCCAAGCACTGTGAAAGTAGCTGTGCAGCTCAGCAACAAATGTACGAGCATCATTTTTCCCTTAAATGCCGATTGTTCACTCAAATTATTCTTTTCGAGTCCTTTCGCAAGTGACTCAAAGTCACAAATCCACAGTGCCAGAAATGCATTTCATCAACACTCTCACTGCTTGAAATTCTGCCTCAAAAGTTCAACAGATAAGCTTCCGCAGCATCCACCGAGTACTACACTCAACCAATCATTTCACATAATGTGTAATGTTTAGTGGGACTGTTAGAAGTTAGATTCACAAATATTTGTGACCAGAATCGCGAGACGGTGGTCAAGCATGATATCGAGAGAGGGATTGAGAGAGCATTACAGTGTCTCTAGTTCCCTCCGATAATAACTTTGTTTTCTGATGCGTGACACCTCATACATCAACAGGTTTCAGTGAAGAGGGAGCAACTTCACGTCATTGTATTGTAGGTGTTGAGAGAAATCTCAGGTAACTCATAGCTTAATCATCTTGCAGCCTCGGAAAAACATCTCCACATTTTGCATTGTATCGGGCCAAATTGTTGCAAGAGTTACAAACCTCGGTTGCGCTACTTTTATTGCCACACATTAATGAAATTTTATTTTCCAATTTCCGCGGAGTTAGATCTACCAGAATTTTATAGATTATGAACCGCGTGGTAATTACCAAGAAGCACAAACCCTGCGTTGGAAAACTCATTCTCCCATTCATCTTTCATCATATTACCAACAAAGTCCTAATATCAGTTACTCTAAAATAGACGTCATAAAAAACCAATGACAGAAATAACAGCAGCGAATACGATCCACAACATCTACCTCAGAGCCACTAGCACGCCTTTGGAGTATAGGAATGCCCGCGTTGTTCCAATAGAGCGTAGATCGTAGTCGGTGCTCCAGTATGGAATGCGATGAATGCGATTCCACGTGATGGTGATTCACAGTCGATCCCATCTTCTGCGTTGGCAAAGCAAAGCAAGAGGAGCGGAAGGCCGTCAGGAATTTGTCCGTAAACTGGCCCTTCTAAAGAAGAACAACATCCAACTTGACACGATTACCACGGACCTCTCTTCAACTCCTCCAAAAGGATGGTCTGACCAGTTATAATCCCAAATTGGTGCCAATTTTGCACTTATAAGTTTATTCTCAAAGTGTTGTTCAGACTCATACAACAAATTCTGACCTGCCAACAGGATTGCAGACATTAAAGTGCATTTCAGATCCTCATAGCACCACACCTTGAAGACATCCCAAGTGCTGCAGAATTGATGACGTTTAAAGATCACTCCGGTACGCAATACCTGTTATACTTTGAGCTGCGAACTCAAAAGAGATGCCTAAGATGAAAGATACCAAAAATGTTTGACTGAAAGCATTGTGTTGAAGAGAGATACTATTTTTACCGGTTCAGAACTCGATAATGAAGTGATATACCAATAACAACAACACCAAATCATTCGTGAACATAAATAAAATCAAAACATTCATCGCCTTCCTATGTTACAAAATCCAAGAAAGACCATTCAGAGTGCGTTTTTGCATTTCTTTCCTCAAATATATGGCGAAAGTAAACGGATTTTAGATTCCGATGGCACCAAATAATCTCAATAATGCAAAATTTCCAACCGCTGCCTACGATTTACTAGTAAAGTGGCTCGAAAAGGAACCCAGGCTAAGAAATTCGCTGATTTCATGAAGGCGGTAACTAATTAATTCATGGTCACTACTCCTGAATTTCAACCAACCAAAGCATTGTCAAGGAATTAAAATTACTAGGACTATCAAAGGCGCAAATAATAGTGAGTAGAGACTTTCACGACAAATGCATACACAAGTCTCTGTTTAGAGGACCCAGAGTTTCACTTTATTAGAGTAGGTAACTCATACTAGTGTCTTTTAAGGCGGGAATTTAGTAAACCACTCTGTGCGCAAAACCTTGAATGAACACAAGCATAAGCACAGCTATAGAACTGAGAACAAAACTATAAGACGTAGCCTGTATGCCTGATACTAGTTTAAAGGGATCCCATAGTACGATCACTATCACGAATGTATACAGCCGTAGGTGCTTAACTTAGACTCGTCTCGAGCTTTCAAGTAACGCAATTTATTAGAATCATTAATATATATGGCAAACCTCTTCAACACACTGTCTAGCATCGAATGACAAACTTTGAATGAAGTGAGTGGGTTGGAATTGCAAAGTGAGTTTCACATGCAAACACCGTGTCATTCTTAGTCACTCATGGTTGTACCCAAATGCATGCTATCTAGGAGATAGCGAAACAGAGAGGGTCTGTTTGGTGTTAGAATTTCCGCTGGAAACCGATTGACACAAATGTAAGAGCATACTTTGAAGAGTAAAGGAAAATGCGCCAGTGATTCAACCAACTCAATCAGAGAAAGAAGACGTACTGTCAGCCAGAATAAGATCATCCAACATATTTTAATTTTCAAAGCTATTCAGTCTGGGACACATGTTTCAGTCGTTATAAACTGATAGCGAAAAGGTTGAGTGAGTAGCTGTAACACTGGTATCAGGTGAGAAAAATGGAGCATCACATGTACTTAGGGTTGATAACGAGTGAGTTAAAGCTATTCCCCATTACCCGACATCACATTCAAGTTCCTCCCCAAAGTCAATTTCAAATGACTAACTACGACAATCACGCAACGCAAAGCCAACCACAGTGGGCTCAAGAGCGTTACCAGCTGAAGGACAGCGCAGAGGTGAGGTCAAGTGAGGAATAGGAGGAGAGGAAGAAATGGGTAAACGAAGCTGAGGCCGAAATGTGGCTTCGTGGATGAAATTAAACACGAAACAGTGCATTTAGAAAATCAACTCAACCGAGACAAATGAGTAGGAAGACATGCTTCGACACTTCTGCCTCTTAACTCAAGCATGCAGCACCTTGCGGAGATTTGGTGAGTTCAAAGAACCGTGTGAAATAAAAAACGGTTCTCTAAATTTGGATGAGCTGCATGAAAACGATTATTCTCATTCATTATGGTCCAGATAGAGGCAGCTAGGGCGTATAGCATGAGATGACGTCTTACATACGTAAAATGACAATTACTGGAATGATTAATTAAAACAACACGTCCATAAAATATATTTTTGTTGGACTTTACCGTACAATCAATATTCTAAAGGCCATTAAAACCCCAAAATTGTCTTGAAATCATGCTCATCTAACAGTGGAAATGTGCCAACATCAAATTATGAAAAATTCGCAAAAACTTAATAGACTAGGATAGCTAAATGGAATGCTTATAACAGAGATACGCCCCAGTAACGGAATCAGGTCGTAGAGAAATGACAGAAATACCAGGAGTTGATTGTGAAGGGAAAAATAAAGTTGAAAATACTTCGAAATTGGTGAAAAAAGAAACGAGACGCACAGGAAACAGTTGACAACCATAGTGAATTTGCACATTTCTGCCGATCTTGCGCCAAGAGAACCATGGAGTGCCAATCATGTATAGTTTATGAATTACTCAAACATCCGAAACGTGGATTACAGCGTGATTTCAACACCTGCAGGCTTTGCAAGTGAGAGCAAAATTAACCTTGAGACAACTTCTCGACCTTTAAAGGTGGCCAAGAACCACAAAGCTCATGTTCTCGAAGGGTTCAAATAACAGTCTTTGCCTTATCAGAGGCGGTAAGAGACTGTTAGCTTGTCGTTTGAAGTAAATGAATGGTCTATTAAAATAAGCCCCACCCACAAAAGCAAGACCATATGATAGCCTCATACCAAATAGAGGCACAATGACTAACCTGTCAAAGTAAAATCATGGGCCGCAACATCAAAATAATTTTGACTGAAGGTAAGGATAACACATGTACGATAGAAGAGTAAAAGACATGAGACAAACCTCCTTAGCAAGAAGAATGGGCATGGACTTGACGAATTTGCCCAGACGAATGTCCGCTAGGTTGTTGCTTGTAAACTCCACATTGGGTGAGGTGAGGAAGGTGTACATGAGTTCACTTGTGCGTAGGAAGGGTTGAGTAAGCAAGTACTGAAACAAAAAGGAGTCCTCAACTTCAGATTCGTTCTTTCCCTAACAAAAAGCGCGGAAATAATCGTAGCATCCAGCAGGGAATGGTCAGACATTCAGTAGTGAAAATTCACAACTGACCTCATTTTATTACTCCTATGAAGGCAAATCGTCTTTGTGATCATGGACTTCAGTTTGTGATTGCAACCAAATAGAATTCGGGAGTAACAAGCCAGATGAACTACTAAAATCCAAGAGAATCTACGGTCGACGAAAATGCATTCCCAATAGGACGCAAAATAGGTTGCGATTACTTTTCCACGAATTCAAACAGATCATAAGTGGATGGACATAACAAATTCTCCCACATTGAAAAGCAAAACATGGTGATCGCTAACTAAAAATGGATCGTTTAAAGGTGACAATAGCCAGCTGTCAGAGAAGCAAGTGCATTATCGTAGAGAATGACGTGCTTGCAATTTCAATACATCGGATCCAATCGTTTTGACAAGCGAACAGCTTGAAGAAACTAAATACAAAGGGAATCTGCAATACCATAGTTCGATAAACAAGTAGATGATTAAATAGTGTTACCAAATCATACCCAAATAAATAAAAAGGGGATGGTTGGCAGGAAATCCGACAGCTATCAATCGCACTGTCAGGCGTGGCACATAACGGATCAGATAATTGTGACTTACGCCTAGCTCTCCATTGAAAAGGGTGCAGAGAAAACTGAGTAAGATCGCTTACCCTGAGGAAACGCTCAAAGTATGACTTCATGTTCTCAAGAAAGTGATGAGACTGAGCTCCATACCGTCGGGCGTGTAATCGATGTGAAATCAGCGAACCGTGAAACTCTACCAGCCTCTGTTCCAATACATAAAACTCCGCATACTTCCTGCAGAAACAAATGAAGTGGGTACAGGTATTGCTAATATTGGTGTAAAGCAGCCAAATAAAATCCACTGTCGATTATAGAAATAAATACAATGACTAAAGCTAAACCGAAATCTAGTCCCTAATCCTTTTACAACCAAAGGAAGATAGGGTGCAAATGCATCCAGAAGATAAGAAAAATAGCTCAACCGGCATCCAATAGGTCTACATCTCAGCTCATCGCATATCGTGCCTTCACACCGATGGGCTGCATCATTTCAATGAGCCTCTGCCATTCCTGGCCAGCGATCTTCAGTTGGAATGCAACTCCTCACGGTCAATTACATCTGCTATAGTGACACACCCAAATACAAATATTATCAGCTCTGTAAAAATAAGGTGACATACAAGTATGGGACAGTGGTAGTAGTGGTTTGGCAATGGATTGTTTGGAGGCAAATAATGGCAGGCTTCTTCACGCAACAAACGCAGAACACAATGCAAGCACAATATCTGTTAAGCAATCAATCCGCCAACCACTAATAAATAAAAAAACTTTGTGCACTGCTCCACGCAATTATCTTTCACCACCATCCCTCCATCCCATAGAGGTCCAAACAGCAGATATTATTGCTTGCCCTAAACATTACTAATTATTGGCTCTGGTTCGTTGGCCTCAACCTCACTAGCCAATAGTACACGCAATTTCTTTCTGACTAATAACAACGAATCGTTGTCTCCCTTAAACTGTTGAGGCGTCCACCTTTGAGGGACCCGCCTCCAATGTCGAGTCACTTGAACTACGTATTGCTATGAGTTGTACTGCTTTCTCACCACACACATCATTGCCGAGTTAGACGGGAAACTTCTACAGTTTGGTCAAAAAGTCAAAATTGTTCCATAAAGCAAGCAGCCTCGTAGTCCATTCACAGAGTTTAACCAAAATTTGATGTGGGCGAGAAATAGCTAAGATGGCAGTAGACTGTCGCATGAATGGACAGATGTCCATTCATCCTCCATAACGCACTCGGCCGCTCCTACAAGTTGATTTGCTGCAAGCCATTGCGAGGGAATACACAAAACCTTGCCGTGTTTTATAGTCTGTTAGGACTGGAAACAAGAGTCCTTTGTTTGCATTTATTTCATCACCATGGTGAAAAGCTAGCCACGGTAGACGGTGCAACTACAGTTGGATATACCACCTATGACTTTACATTAAAAGCATGTTGTTCGAGACATTTTTAGGTGCATAATAAAGGAAACACACCTTTTAAGACTGAAATCTGGAAAATGTCATCACCGAACTAACATGGAGTCATAATATTGGTGAATCGTAGTGCGCAATACAATGTGAAACACGGAGACAACCCGGAATAATCGCCATTTTCAGGTTATGCAGCCAAAAATATTCTTGCAAACACCTAAAGTGTTGAATTATCTACTCCATCAATTGGACCTCACAATTTCCAGCAGTCGTATTCAAGATATAACGCATACGAATAAGAAAGGGAAGTACATGCACACATGCCTGAAGCTTTGTTTGCACTTTTAGTTTGGCTACCTTAACGTCGATGAAAGTATGAAGTGATCGGGCTACTCGTAGCGGTAGATACAACATACCAACCCTCATACAACCGTACCGGTGGGACTCGCTCCACGAATTCGTGGCAGTCAGTACTTACCTACGAACTCTACTAGAAACCGTCTTGCCGCTGATTTCACGCTCCGCAATCACTGTATAGTAGCCTTGGCTGGGAGCCGTGAAGGAGAAGAGTGAAAAATCTGGTTGTTCTGGATTCATCATCAGCGTCAACATCATGGGTCCTGCTGCTACTGACGAGGCTGAAGAAGATTTAAAGTTTCCCCTGCCACCCAATGAAGAGGTAGAGGATCGACTGGCAGAAGTATAGAAAGGAATTGAAACACGCCATTTGGAGAAGTCCAAATCCTCCTCTGTCATCTTTGCACTTTTCATGGGGGACGGAGAAGTTGGGCGACGACGCGACCGAAGGCGACCTGATCTTCTTGATGCGGAGGTGGTGGACATATCGTCCTTTGCCACAGACTTCGCGCGAGAAGCAAACTCACGACGACTCAGTTCGTTAATATCGTTGAAGGAACTGCTTTGCTTTGATGACTTGTAGAAGCGACGACTGAGGTTGGAATCGAGAAAGTCTTTGAAAAACATGAAATCAATGTAATTCCTTATTGTTAGGACACTTCTTAATTGGAGTTTTAGTGAATTGTAAGGGAGCATCATCGTCAGCAGTTCTAATATCCAATCTGATGTAATGCATTTAGCTTTCAAATAATCACCTTTTGGGAGCAACTGTCATAAAACCGCGAAATTATTTTCAAGTACAAGGTCAGTAATAAAGCCGATTTCAAGCGAAACCAGTGAATAATTTTTAAAGTGAACCGGAAATGCGAGCTCTTTACAAAGGAAAGGAGAGGAAACAGCCTGAAAGATTTGTATTCGAATGATTTATCCTTCAACAACACTCGGCTTAGTGAGAAAGTTCGACATTACTAATGAAAGAGAAGCTTGATGAATAAAACCCGTCTTTAAGTAAGAGCAAAAAATGGGTAAGCGCGAAGTCGGTCGTTCGTTAAGGCTTGAAATGGTGTTTCCATAACTTCCTATTAAGGGCACAAAGAATCTGCCCTCCAACCCACAGGGTAAATTAAAAGAATGTTTAATTAAGCTTACACCAGAGAGTACCAAAAAATACTTGCACGGTTTTGCTGTGCATCCATCTGCGAGGCATTGCAGCAAATCAAGCTGTAGGAGCGGTCGAGTGTGTTATGGAGGATGGATGGACATCTGTCCATTCATGCGAAAGTCTACTGCCATCTTAGCTATTTCTCGCCCACATCAAATTTTGGTTAAACTCTGTGAATGGGCTACGAGGCTGCTTGCTTTATGGAACAATTTTGACTTTTTGACCAAACTGTAGAAGTTTCCCGTCTAACTCGGCAATGATGTGTGTGGTGAGAAAGCAGTACAACTCATAGCAATACGTAGTTCAAGTGACTCGACATTGGAGGCGGGTCCCTCAAAGGTGGACGCCTCAACAGTTTAAGGGAGACAACGATTCGTTGTTATTAGTCAGAAAGAAATTGCGTGTACTATTGGCTAGTGAGGTTGAGGCCAACGAACCAGAGCCAATAATTAGTAATGTTTAGGGCAAGCAATAATATCTGCTGTTTGGACCCTTGTAAGGTGGTGACACGAAGATGCCCATCAATACTTGCAGGGTTCACACCACGTCACCTCACTTCTACAGAGCTATGCCGATTTTTCTGTGTAGGTGTGACGCCGTAGCAGACATAATTAACGTTACCTTCCAGCTGAAGACCAATAGATGAGAATGACAGAAGCTCAAGTCTATCGTCCTTCTCCATACCCACTTCCTTGTATAGCCTACCACCTCTTGATTATTGTTGCAATGATGCCGAGCAATCACATGTTCGAATGCTATGTAGCGATGAGACGGAAGGCCTCATCGACTGAAATCAGCACTAGCTTGCTCATCGAAAATGAAAGCGTTGCAGAATGCAATGTTTTTTTCCTGTAAGGCACAAGATAAACTTATTTGTTCCTCAAAATAAGCATGCGATACCAGCAGTTGATGTGTAGAGGGATTAATGCCTACATAACTTCAAATCATGCTGCCGTTTAAGAAGGTAAGAATCGGTAAACGGTAGAAAACGATATTACGAATTCAACAATGAATTCGCAAAATCTAATGTTAAATTTTCAAGCAATTTTCTAATTCAATTTTAGTGCAAAAACAAGACCTACAGAGATAACTTGGTTAATGCACAAGCGATGCGAAAATTACCCAAGCAAACTTACCCAATGTGTTCGCCATGTCAATGTCCGCCGTGACATCCGCCGGAATGAATTGATAGCTAAAAAATGTAAGCCATAAAAATAGGTAGATGACGTTCTCATAACAGCAACTGGTCACACATATTTGGCGTTCCTACCATATGGAGATTTAGCCTCAAACATTGTGAAACCTACTGCATCCCTATGAACGGCAAAAAAATTGCACAAGTAGCTCCAACAAGGCTACCTCTTGTTTCAACCATCCCGGACTCTTCTAATTTGCCAATACTTCGCCTCATTTAATATGTGTGGATACCCACACGTGTGGCTACGATATACCTCACTTATAGACAACTGATTGATCGAATTTTGAACGCTAAGACAAACCTTGCACATGGTCAGAAGAGGATTCGATACTTGGCTGTTTACTAAATGTCGTGGCTGTGTTAGCAACGCTTAGGTTTGCTAAATTCCATTATTAATTAACCCAAACGACAGCAGAATCTTTAAAACTTGAGTGAACGCCTATGCTAGATATCTGCAAATCTGATATCATTAGTACTGAATCGTGAACCCATGAAGCGACAAGTTTGAGTAAGCACCAAAGTGATTGCATCAAGAAATAAGAAACTATTGCGGCAATTGTGAAACCAAATTTACCCAGGGCTGGAGATGGTAGAGGTCGCACCCACCCTGCCAAGGTATTCAGGACTCTCCATATACGCGGGTAGGTAGAGCGTTTCCATCGTCTTACACAGTGTTTTGTAGGCACTAAGAAGATATCCGGGAAAACAAACCCCAAACCAATTGGCATCAAGACAAATGAAATGGAAAAATTCTGTTTTCTTAAATGTTGGACTGTGTTTTATGGCAGCAGAAATTGACACAGGAACGTAGAGGAGAGGTAGAATCCTACTCCCTGCTACACGCTTTCAAAATGACCAACTAGGTTTTCCCATCTGTGGTGCAGAATTCTAAAAGAAGGACTAGGACGAAGAAATGACCCTATAGCGTAAATTTGACGCCCCTTTTATAACCTCCAAGACTAGTCCCCATGAGAGTCCATAAGCTCATTCCATCAGTTTCATACATCACGGTCGTTCTCATTCACCGATCCTAAGAACACACCGTGAACTAGTATGAAAGCTTCGATTTTATGCTCTTGCAAGCGTGTCCATTAACGAAAGATAAAAGCGAATAATAAAGTTTCTCTTAAACTGTGACAGCGCATGACTTTCATCAGTCCAGTAGTTAAAAGGTTCCAGCTATCCCCCATTCTCGTGCAAAGGCAAAAATAACAAAGCAAAGGTGAACAAAGGCGTGGCTTACAGAGACAACTTAGCTGCCCTCTCCAAATTTGGCACGAGGTACTCTCTCACACCATGCGCATATTCAGCTCACGAGACAAAATTGCAGTTGGTTTAATGTGTGCAGATGCGTGTTTTCGCTTTTCTTCTGTTGTAAAAATGATTAACCTGCTTTGTACAGTGCTGATTTCGCTCTGCATTTCGCCATGTGCCTGTTAAACAGCCTAATTCCTTTTGTACTGGTTGTGTTGCATGGCTTTGAGGTTACTAAGAGCATCCGATCATCCCGTAGGTTAGGTGTCAAGATTCTATGCCAATAACTTAGTTTCAGAAAGACCGAGACCAAATCTAGTGTCGCATGGAAAGTTTGATCTGCCGCAAAAATGAGCATATTAAGCATAGAAAGGGAGGTCTCAACTCATTTGATCGCTTGATCGAGACTAAATCCCTCCAATGGTCGATTCATTTTTAAGAATTACCTTCACGAACAGAACTTTCGGGTTGCTGCACCGGGACATTTCCTTCGTCGATTGCAAAATACCCGGCCTACACTGCTGCATCAGTACTCAAAGGTAACCCAAAACATCAACTGCAAATGCCCATAAAACTGCTTGAATAAGACGAGATCCCGGAAGAAAATTAAGTCGACGCCTCCAAATGTTGATACTTGACCAAGTTCCATGAAAACGTTAAGGATAAATCGAAATTTGGAGCTGTGCCTGCAAATAGAATATAATGCTCGCACTTAAGCGACTTTTCGATTGCAAATAAAGATAGTCTGCAAAGGAGTTGTGCTAAATCCATGGGGCATTGGAGAAGAAATGTCTGTCAATCATCCATGTTAAGCTGTCGCATGACTCACATTTGCACCGCTAGCAGCAAGAAAGAAATTGTTTTAAAACCAATTCTCTTTACTACGTAGTCGTTGAAGCGAAAGGTGCGACTTCATGCCGATTCATACTTCGGGATGAATGTGTGATCTCATTTCCTCATTTCCCAGTTTGCCCAGCCATTTAGCTATCTTCCACTTCTCAAAGAACCTTTCAACCTTCTCAAACAACCACCATCACGTTGAATTCAATAGCAAATTTCAGCCTATACTTGTCACACTGCCTCCATAACAGACCGAAATCCCGGCAATGAAAGCAATTTCGGTTTCATAAAAGATCAGATAACAACAATAAACCCCACTAACGGTCAGGCATAAGAGTAAAGGCATATGTCATACATTCCAACCTGCAACTGCTCCATTTCGTTAAACTTTTCTTCTTCGCCGAACCAAACTAAGACGAAAATTAAAAATTGACGCAATTCTAAATAATGACTTTGGGCATGTGTGACTTCAACGCATCCATCTACCCCCATCCCACTCCTAACCCAATCAAATTACTGCAGAGAATAAAATTGACTATCTGAAAAGGAATAGGTAAAATACCCACAAAAAAATACTCACTCTTTAAAAATCCACATTAACACTGTCCGTAAACCGACCCAACGATGAAGTTTAGGAGCAGTATAAATTGTCAGGCAAGAATTAACACAAATATGGCTCCTTCTCCGGCCCATGATAACCATGTACCCGTTTCAATCGCTGCTCCGAAGCAAAAAAAAATGTAAATGCGCACCACAAAACTATTAACTCGATTCAAACTCTAAGGGTATGTCTGCAACACACGATTTTGAATGAAAATGAAGCTGTCAAAAATCTCACAGACAAGTGGCGCCTTTAGTGACGAAAATGTTAATAAACGCAAAAGTTTGTTTTGAACGCACCTGGTCCACTCCGGCGTGTGCACAAGGCGAGCAACGCAGAGCGGATCGGCGCTCGAGTCGACAGAAGCAGAATCGATAGCCTCCGAAATGACTGTAGTGAGACGTGGTGACAAACCGAGGAGTTGAGGCAGACGCGACGCCCCGATCGGTGTTATTACGCGTCCACAGTGACTGCATTCGGTTTGGAGATTAGAGGATTGGTGATTTTGCTGTTGGTATTGGTCCAACTCCTCGCTGGCCAAAACACGACCACTATGGAGGATCAGAAGGAGCTGCTGCAAGGGCGTCTTAAGTCGTTTGCAGAGCTCTGGTGAGACGCTCTCTGTCTCGATTTTGTTCGCAACTTCAACTGAAAAGTACGAAAGGAAGAACAAATCTTTTAGGCTTGTCTCAAGCATTGATTGTCGATGAGAACGGGGATTAGTGCTATTAGAACCTCGGCATAAATTACAGAAGCCACTTCAAACAAGTCCCATTTCTCATCCATGCAGTAGATTTTAATGAAAGCACCAGAACGCTTTTACTTTGTTATGTAAGAAGCTACACGCTTGACTTCTAGAACTGTAGAAAGAAATGGAGACGGACTTTTGCTTCCACACCTTTTGCCTGCATTTAAACAATGCCAACGTTTGCTTAACTCTAAGTTATATCGCAAAAGGAAGCACATGATGATGTACTAAAAAGCTTTGTTTTCAACAAAGGTGGCACTTATGTGCTTCGCCAGGCGAGGCGACCTCGAGACCATGTCGGCAAACTTAAGACCTGCTGATGCCTTTCATTGCCCTCGCAGGAGTCTCGGAGCATCTACCCTTATTTATACTTCTGAGTGATACGCCTCAGTGGAGCGAAGAGCACATGCTGCAGACGGGAGCATTGATGACAACCAACAACAACCAGACTGAAAGTGGCATCTGCCTTCGACAGCTACCAAAGTTCAATGGCCTTCGCGAACCGCTTACTGTACCTGCACACAAACACCAAGCACGTGAACTCGTGTTATCTCACACACCATACTAGCTGGATAGAAGCAAGACAACTACGAATGAGCTACAATGAGGTGAGACGAGGAGGAATGGGCATAAAACCTAAAGCACGGAACTTTTTTGCCAACTGACTCAGCTTTTCAAGCAGGACTTCTGCGACCAAATATGGACACGTATGACGGCTTTCACTCAAGAGATGGGATTCCAGATCAAGTAGAATCACCAAGGGGAATTGAAAGTCTGTGACTCGTGTAAATGTGTTGCGCTGTGTTGAAGGCTGATTAAGGAAAAAGCCAGGTGTGAAGCTCAACGGGGAAGGAGAGTTAGGCTCTAGACCATTTAAGCAACCCCAAGACCTACTGATTTCTTCCATCGTTTTCAGGGACCTTGACACGACATACACAAGTGACTTGAACTGATCGATGAAAAAATATTGCAACTAATACAACCAGACCCAAGAACGACTACTCAACGATATAACATTGGCGACTAATGGTGAAATGCATCCTATAGGTAGCTCTCTCCAATCTTTCAGCCACTGTCTGGATTATTTATTTCCTACTACACCCA